TTTTTTTTTCTAAAGTGAAAACTTAAAATGGAATGATCAACAAAAGAAATTCAGCAGCAGTTTCATTAAGTACGCAAAATCTTCTTTCATGTTGAATGACTGTTTAAAATTTTTGCCAAATTTTGTCCTATTCTAGAATATCAAATAAACAATAAATTCAGCACTTTCCGGACATCATGAAAACGATTATATTTGTTGAAAATATCCAGGAAATAAGAACGAGACTCATAGAAATAAATCACAAATTGAGTCAATTATATGGATTTGCCACTCTATTTCCAATACAATACCAGAAATTATCAGACTAATTGTCAAGATTTGACAAAAGAGCAAAAAAGGTTGTGTATTTCTTTCCTTGTTAATAGGAGCTTGTACCCTAAAGTGACATAAATTTTTCTCACGAAGGAAGAACAAACAAAATAACATTGCAACACCAACCTCGATTGATTGTTCATGTTTGTGCTCCCTGTTGCCCTGCATAGTGATCCTTGCTCCAGGCAATTGGCCATTTCTTTTAGCGCTTTGACGCTGCGTTCCGTAGATCCAGCAAGGGTAATTACGCCATCTGATGTTTCACGAATTTGTATGGGAGGTTTCCCAGGAATTGTTACCTTCCCTGCATGTCCATTTCCTGTCTCTAATTTGCTAGCAGAACTGGGATCTAGCAAGTCTCGGACTTCCTCTTTGTGTATCTACATAGGAAAATATTTTCGTTATACATAGGAAAACATTTTCGTTATACGCTTGTTAGAAATTTTGAGTAACGCGCACAACATAGTCCAGAAAATATGGACAAATGAGAAAGTAATAAATGGACGAACTTCAATGAATGAAACGTGCAATTGGAATTCAATGTCGTGCTTCAAAGTTTCAATCTTGCTGAATAAAGCATCCATAACTTTGGGGATCAATCCCGTATGGCATCCATCTTTGAGACTAGTGCCCATAGTGTAAGTTTTTCCTGAACCCGTCTGCAACAAATTGAAAAGTCAAATCCTTCAATTTACTAATTAATTATCGACGTTTTTTGAAATTAACTTCTGCTGCAAATGCACGACTTCTAACACTTTACCTGACCATAGGCAAGAACAGTTGCATTATATCCTTGAAACAAGCCATCAACAAGAGGAGAAACACACTCTTCGTACATGGTAGAAGAGGGAGACCCCGTACTCCCATAAACATGATCGAATGTAAAGGAATGCGTACCAATTTGTACCTGTAGCAAAATCACAACCGAATAATAAATACAAACATATCTGAAACATGCAAATGAACTTGAAATGTAAGACAATTTCCAAAAAAAAAAAAAGACATACGTCATCCGAGAATTCTACAATGTAAAGCCGTTTATCCACCCTAGCCAGAAAAAAATAAAAATAAAAAAGAGCTTTCCTGCACAATTAGATATGTTCTAGAAAAATGTAATCAAAATCTCCAATCATAGGACTAAAGCGCATCTTCTTGTGGCTGGAAACAGGTTGAAGTCATAATCTGGACTATAATGTCATGTGGGATCCAAGATTAAAACGGACACAGAAAAGGACAAGAATTAGTAGATGCCAATGGGAAACTAATAGTAAAATAGTAATGTATTCCATATATGTTTCCTGAAATCCTCAGCTTAAAATCAGAAGAAAAGGTCTTTCCCAGAGACGGATTCAAGTGAATGGAATATTAATCTAGACTGATAGAAAACCAATTAAGTGCTTGCTAGGACCATGGCTCAGCAACAAGAAGCAAATAGAGCAAGCAAGCAACACCAAACAGATTACTTTTCCAGTCCAGAAATTTTAGATAATTATATTGATCTATCATACTTCACAATTGAGCAAGAATTAATCACATAGCCTGAAATATTTTAATAAGAAATCGAGTCAATAAGAATGATCATAAATCTAGCAACTGAGCTACAGAACTTAACAACCACAACCTATCCAGAAATCCATGGACACCAAAATTAGGATCTTCTTGTGCCTCAAAATTGCTAAAGAATACCTGCCTGTTTCCTATTGAGTTTACGGCAACAAAATTTCAAAAAATTGACAATAAAAAGGTGGAATTGATGGAAAAATCACCCAAATTCAGATATATATTCAGATTTGAGAACACTGAATCTCAGAGTAGTTCATGCAGAGCGGCAAATTTTCCCCAGACGGTAAAGTTAAAATCTTGAAAACGTTATAGCATTATGTAAAGATCAGATCTTCATGAAATTATCCAATCCAACTGCTAAAATCTGATTCAAATCCATCACAATAACACCCTCAAACCCCACCCCACTCCACCCCAAAAAAAAAAAAAAGAAAAAAAAAAAA